TGTCATGTTTAAATATGAATATTTATAATTTTTATTTGTAATATTGACCGGCACAAACCGATATGTGCCACCGATCGAATCATTCCACTTGCTAAACCGGCACGCTGGCATAAACTGGTTTGATAATCTTGATTGGGTAGGTTTTTGGATTTGTATATTCATTCCTAGATATTAGTGAAGTTGATTTTGATGGAACTTTTTATACATTTTTGTACTGATTACGTTTTTTTATATCTGATTATGGGAAATTAATTTAATAATTGAAAAGTACATTTTACAATAAAATTACTCATCCCGTTGATTTAACACCTACGTGGAAGTCACATAATTGGCAGTCGAATGAAATTTGGCCACCGTTAGTCAACCAGTAATTATAAAATCGACATAAAGATCATAACATAAATAACATGATACTACCATACTTTGTGTTATAATTCCCATAACGTATAATCCTAGAAATAATTTTTTTTATAGTTGACTCAATTCTAACTACACTCACAATCGAAGGCTGACTCGAACTTTCAACCGAGGTACAATAGAGCAAGTATTTTCCGAATTATCAAATCCGGGCGGTCTATATACCCTTACTTCAGCAAACTACAAATTACCCAACGATAGAAACATTGTTTTAAGCTAATGAACTAAGAAAACAAGCAAATAAATAATATTTGCCCTAGTCTCATGTAAGTCAATGATATGATACTCTCAGCGGCGGATCTAGGGGCTGCTCTCGGGCCTCGACCCAGCCCTCCTTTGGATCCGGAGCTCGTATAGCCTTTGTATTTCTGATTTTAGGTATCAGATTATGTTTTCGTCGGGTTACGGCCAAGTCCTCTCTACCTCTTTTTCAAATGTGGCTCAGTGCTCTACCCTATCCTGGATTCGCCGCTGGATACTGTATTATGATTCGCATAGAGTATATACCATTGGGAGATCAAACTAGTTAGGAGTCCCTTTTTGAGTTGTCCTACCCGCCTAATAACTCTAACCGGGGAACGGAACAAACTACCGGATTAGGAGGGAAACCAAATCCACGCCCTCAATCAATGACATGGAACAACGTAAAGAAGCCAATAGCTCTCGTTCATGTCCCCTTTACGATGATTGAATAACGCCCTAAATTACCCTAATAAGGTATTCTCTCACCTAGGTTAATTGGGCCCAAAATGGAGAGAATTGATCAAGGACCTTTAGTTAGCATGATAAATACTCAATCAATATATAAACAATCAGGCCAATCACAACATAGAGTTTGGAATCACAAAACTGCAACATCCTAGACTAGAATTCACATCATCCAAGTGAATAAAAACCTACATCATTCCTAGAGAAAGAACTACAACTATGGAAGGGAAAACCCGTGAAAAAATAAGCTCCTTCTCCCTAGTTGTTTGGGATAGTATTGAAGATGGAAGCGGGCCCCCTTGCTCTTTTGTAGCTCAAATTCTCCTTTAATCTTTCATGGCTCGTTGCCTTCTCTCTCTACAAAGAAGAAGATCCAACTATCTCTCTCTCCAAAACTCTTTTTGAAATCTTCTCTCTCTTCATATTTATACTCGACTGTAGGGATGGATATTTGAACCCGTCCCGTCGGTTTTAACCAACCTAACCCACGACAGGTATCGTACTGACCCGCAATAGGGTGGGACGGGACATGGGTATCTACTTCCAACTTGCCTGCCCCGCCTAATTCATGGCCCATTATGTCTCAATTTCTTATAGTATATATTCATATTTCTCCTATTTTGACTTTTCTTCAATTAGTTAAACTTGATTTTTCAACTAGTTAGACTCGATTACTCATTCTATTATCACTATTTTTCATTCATAAAGTGTTTCCCCTTCGTTTTATAGAAAAAAGAAGAATTTTGTAAGTATTTTTTTCAAATAACATGTAAGAGTGGGAAGACTCGCCCCGCCCCGACCTGCAGTAGCGTGGCGTGGGGAAAAGGTATTAAGGTACCAGCCCCGACCTGCCCCATAGCCATCACTACCCGACAGTGCAATCTTCAAGGCTGCGTGTCATGATCATTATATGTGCAGTGAAACCGTGATGTCTACCCAATCTGCACCGTTTCATTTACGCACTTAATGGTTTCCTTTCATTATTCACGCCATGAGTCCACGATATCTGCACTACTCGTGAGACGTCCAAAGCCTACTAGGAACTTGTAATCTTCACGGTTTCTGCTCGTGAACATTTGCTCTGGACTGTGATGTATGACATTGACAGCACTTGCTCCCGTTTTCGCTCCCTGGTGTGAGCTACTACCCACGTGCGGGTTGTGTCAATCGTTTGCATGACCTATCTAACTACTCCTCTAAGCCAAGTATACCTCAGAATGGTATTGCTATAGCTAGTATATTGGCTACCAAAGTCATACTCCAGGGGTCTCGATACCCTAGGCTACTTCTCACTTCGTTGTTATCTAGTCAACCAATTTAGATTTTTGGGTTGGAGGTCGATTAAAAATAATGGTGGAAAGAAGCAAATATAAAGGTAAGATACTTTGGGGGTGTCACCCTCGCCCTAAACTAGGTTCATCATGTAAATGGCTAACTATGTTGGGCATATAGGATAGGATGCGGAACTCTCTAATCTAAAGATTTTGGCGATTACCCTCCCTCCTCCTAACACGTCCCACAAATATCCAATGTCACCTCAGTCTAATTTTACGTGTTATGGTTGCTTTCATAGTTCCTCTCAATAGGTTTAACATATCATGCATACTAGATCGGTGCTCCGGTCATAATGTGTGGGACCTATCTAGCATTATTTTAGAAACAAATAATTATACTTACAATATTTATAGACATATAATTATACTTACAGTGACAGATTTTGAATTTGTTGCATATAATATAATTTTAGAAATAAATACCGTATATGTCTCGAAATGTAAATAGTGTTTCTTGTAGTGCCACCAAACTGCTGCATAATATGTAAACTCATAGGTGGCTACAATAACTTTCTGATGCTCTGGGTAAGGATTGCACTGGAAAAACATAATCATCTTCCTCTCCCAATCGAGGTAAGCTGGTGCACTATTAGTGCCTGAAACAAGGGGATTGAGAGCTTAATCCCTCGAATCGGCTCAACGCCATAACCTCCTTCTTCTGGTGGCCTTCCTCCATACTCATAATAATCATTCTCATAGTCATTAAATGGAGCTCTGTTCTGCGGGATTACCTGACGATGTTGCTCCGTGTATTGGCGCCTCCACATATGCCAATCTGGGGTTTCGGGAAAAGCTTGGTACACTCGATCTGCTCTTGGGCCCTCTCGTTTCGCGGCTCTAGTTTGAGCTGCGACAACTGTTGGATTCTCTGGTGGTAGTGGATTACCCATTGGTTGCGTCTCCAACCTGGTGATTAGGGTATCCAGTCTCTGGTTCGTCTCAACCAGCTGACCTTTGGTAGTGTCCTGCTGGGCCTGAAGCAAGGCTCCCATCTGCGCGGCAAGCAGCTTCATAGCTTCTGCAAGGTTCTGACTCTTCTTTCCCATGAATGGTTCTTTGATTGGGGTTTCTTCTTCAGATAGCAATTCCTCCTCTTCTATGCGTTCTTCAATCAGATATTTGGACCTCATTCGACAAGCAACGGGTCCTCTCTCTTTCGATCATGCTGTGTTGAACCAGGCTTTGATACCACATAATAAGAGCACGGAGCCTGTACCCGTAGTTATCAAAGTACGCAGCTTCAAGAACGAACAATAGAACGTCTGTTTAGGGGGTTTTGTTTGTAAGGATAGGGTGAAATTGAAAGGGCAATCTCAACACAAATTTGGGAGAAGGCTCAATCAATATAACAAATAGAATCTCGACCACAATCAAGGGAAAAACTTGATTGATACACAGAGAAAGTTCAAGCCTCAAGCTCAAAACCAAGATAAAAATCAATATTCTGCTAAAAACTAACCCTAAAACCCGAGTTTCAGCCTTTATATAGGTATGGATAATTAAAAATAACAAAAACAGCTTAAACATACAAATTCCCGTCACCCAGGCAAAATATCCGGTCAGAACTAAAATTACCCGGTCAAGTATTTAGCCTCCACGACCGGGGGGCCTTCTGCCCAAAATGTCAGTCTACTGCAAAATACCATGTGCCCAAAATATCCGGTCGGGTATTTAGTATGCTCAGCCGGGTATTCCCCCTCCGCCAACCCTTCTTCCACTGTTGCTGGGGCCGCATCAGGATGTGATCTTGTTTATTGTTATATTAATGAATGTTAGGATTTCATATCATGCTTGTATTTGTCTACGAATTTTAATGTCGATCATGATCATTGATTGCTTTATTGTTTTTAATGCTTGTAATGGTCATTGATGTTTTCTATAGTATGAATTCTATTAATACCATCGATGCTCATGATTCTATTGTATGATACTATATTCATTGTTCTTAGTATTACCTAACAGGGATACCCCATTGATCCTACATTAATATGGGAGGATTGATCGGTCATATATGCATCGAGTAGTGTCAATGCTTCATTGTTAGATCATCAATGCTATAGCTCTAGTTATGGTTTAAAGAAGGCCTAATTAACTTTCTGCTATCCTAACTTCCTTGTTCTTTATTGATTACATAACGACATGAAACGAAAGCACGCATTAGCTAGTTAAATCACTATCACAAGAGGCGCATGAACGGGTAGAGAGTGGTCTTAGAGGAAGGGATAGGGTGTTGCAGTAGATGAACCATCGATACATGATATTAAAGAGCCAAAGTTTTCATGATTATCTTCAAGTTCACAATCTAGTACAATAACTTATATTTACTTTCATGCATCTATAAATCGAAACCCCTAAACAACTTTATTCTTCTTGCATGCTTGTTCAATTCGTGCATGTTATGATATTTGGTGAGAGTAGTTATGCATTAGAAGACCTCGAGGAATATGACCCTAGGCACATATAAGATTATCACTTGTGATTTCTACATTATGTTTTTGGCAATTTCTAATCATATATAAAAGCATATAATCATCTTATGCCTAGTATAGAGTCTTTTTTGTTTTTTAGATTTTCGTATGAATCCAGTACCAGAAGAAAAACTAAAAACCTAAAGATCATGGAAGAGATACTTCGAGAAGGAGGAGTTTCGAGTTCACCCATCTTGAAGACAAAGGAAGGAGCATCTATCTCAAGAGGAGAAGAACCCTCAAGCCCCAGCAACTTTAAGAAAGCCTTGGAAGAAAAGGACAACATAGACGAAGACAACTTTGATCGGGAAGAAGAGGGAGCATCTTCAACGCCAATAATGGGTGGAGAAGAAGGACAAAGACAAGTGGCCGTTCCACCAACTCTTTATGAATACCTGAAGCATTGTTGCGCCACCAACAACCATAGAGATTAGAACTCAACCATCCAAATGGTGCAACAAGCAGGTAAGTATGGAGGCAGGAATGATGATGATTCAGTGTGACACTGGAATACATTCTCAGAGATCATCGATCTCATACCGAGAGATGATGCTACCAAAGATGGGACTCGACTATGACTTTTTTTCATTGTCACTTGGAGGAGGAGCAATGCAGTGGCTCAACTACCATCCACCAGGAACCTTCACCACATGAGAAACCCTTTCACCAACATTCATCAAGGAGTACTTTCCATGAATCATAAACCCGCTAGTGACCCGCCCGCATCTCCAACCCTACACGAGCCACATGATCTTGACTAGTATTATGGTCTAAATTGAAGAGAGTATCCACACATATATATTTCTTGCAAATTCAGCTACCTTCCTTTCCTATCTTTCTATCAGTCCTTTGAACAGTCTATCTTTTCCACCATCGTACGTATTGAGAAGTCATCGAGAAAGAGAGGCAAGCCTTTCACGTGGAGGTGGGCTGACGAATTGCCCTTTTGCATGCAACTGCAAATCCACCACCTAATTATATTATATTGCCCCTTGCACTTCTACTACTACTTGACGTGTCTTTCAATTGCGTGACTTCGATTTTAATTTTCTTTTTTTCTTTTCCCTTGTTCCACAAACAAACCCTTCTTTTCCAACTCACAAATATAATTATATATAATTCACAAAGACACATATACGAGGGGAAAAAGGACTTTGCAGCTACTAATTAGTTTGTCCCCCGTGAAAATAAAAGGTAGAGATTCATTCATATTCGTGTTTGCTTTCCAAGTTTCCAAAGGCCTCATTTTGGTTACACCTGTTACCTTTGAATGAGGAAAGGAAACAAACATCCCAAGCTAAATTCATGCAAACCCACCACGTGGCGAGCTCAGAATCCATTCCTGTGTACAGTTGGATGTGCATCTCATCCACGATCCCAAAACCTAGACCATATAATCATATTCCTGCCACAGGACAGGGTACGAGGTGAAAACGATGGCTAAACAAACTGACAAGACCAATGACATTATTTATATCCAGTTGAGCAGATAATTTTACTTGTGAACAGATTGGATGTATAACCAAATTATGTATTTTTCAAAGGACTCTAAATTATATAATATCAACAAGAACATTTTAATCTAAATAATTTAATCCCTTATGAATACTATATGCTTATGGCAAAGAGGATAAGATTATGTTATCTGAATGCCTTATGCATCCACTTAATTTGTAGATAAGGATAATGTATGATATTTTGGGCAAAAGAATTAGATATATAATCATTCTAAGGATCATTTTGAATGACTTTAAATTATATAAAATAAATGGATATTGATTTTAAAATATTTATTCATATATTTATTGTAGAGAATACCTAGCTTGTGGAGTTATACAGGATAATAACATATAATATTATACCAAAATAACAGTTTGAACTTAGATCCAACACTTGATGAAAATTCAAAAATACTCATATAACATCTCAAATGTTCAACTTAGAATTCCAAAAATAGGGTTATGCGAATGGGGAAAGCAGAAAAGAGGCATAATTCGGAAAGTAAAGGAAAAATGGCATCGTGTGACCTCCAATTCGAAAACCTTACAACGAGTCGGCCCACAGATGTGTGACACCAATTTTCATCATCGGGTGCGGGTCAACCCTCGGCTTGACCCGAAGGATGACAACCTTGAAATGCAAAGTTGCCACAGCAAGACACTACCACAAGATAGCAATTATTTCTACCTATACTTTTTCGTACAAATCTCTTAATAGTACAAACTAAATTTGTATATTTAATATTGTGATATAAATTGAGTTTTTACCTCAAACTAAAATTATACTTTCATAACATGTTATGTTACAAACACCTGAAAGCACCGATACAATTATTGTAAAATTCGTCAATCTATATATAGTGACACACGCTTGCACTGTCTTAGGGGCAGTTGGTCATTAAAAGCTTTGCAGGTAACTGTTACTAGTCAAGTTGATTAAAAAGGAGGATTAAGAGCCGTAATCAAGCGGCTTGGCGGGGAACAACGGAACGTAATAATTGAGCAAAGGAACCATTCAACCAGAACCAAAACCCATCCTATCAATTGTCAAATTTCATCAGATCTCTTGAAATATTATGACAATTAAGTTCTGATAAGGATGTGTGCGTGTCTTTCTTTCTCTAGATGATCAGTTAATTTCTTCAAATTGATTTTTCCGTTTGATTTGTTGTTTGTGATGTAGTCAAGGTTGTCATTCCGTAGGTTGACCCACGTTAACTTTGGCCCGGTAGGAAAAATAGGCCGCACGTATTCGCCGGTCGACCGCTACAAGGTATCGGATTGGAGGTCAAATTGTGTAATTTTTTTTCTTTGGTTTGCGAAATGCGCCTATTTTTCAATTTTTCTTTTCGCCTAACTCAATCTTTGGAATCTTTAGTTAAACATTCGAATATTGATGTTATGTAAGTGTGTGTGAATTTTCACTATATGTTGGATTTAAGTACGACATGTTACTTTGTTGTAATGTTATATGTTATTACTCATATGTTAGATGAGATTTTATATAATTTATCAGAATAAGTATAATATAATGACTTTTTCCATATTTCCCGGCTAAAACGGGTGATCCATTAACCACTGACCCACTAGTTTGACCGGATCCGGGTCAACTCGCGAATTGACAACATTGAATGTAGTGTTTTATTTTACGTGGGGTGGGGTGAGAGAAGGAGAAAGTTCGAGGACAATTTAGTCATCCTAAAGAATAAAGATGATAATGGGAGGCGGTTTTCTTAAACCATTTTTGTTCTCGTTTTTAGCAACTTAAACTCATATTCATGTGAGAGATTTTTTGCAATCTTATTGTTATATCCATGATTTTCGGGTACTAATACATAGTATTCGTTTTGTATATTCAATATTATACCTAGAATTAACACCATGAAGATGAAGTGTGTGGTTACTGGTTATACTTATAGTTGCTTGATTGTTAAATAAATAAGGATTAAACCCAAGTTCTTTCACTATATATGCTAATCTATCTAATTTGTGACAGAGTATAGTGGGACAGGTTACGGTGATTACTACAAAGTAGTAATCACTAGGGGTGGGCATTGGGTGAGTCGGGTGGATTTTGACCATAAAATGCACCCACCCGCGCTTAAACGGATTGATAATTTTTAACCCACCACCCACCCACATTTAGTCTCGGGTTGGGTCGGGCGGATGGTGGATGATGCGGGTGGGTTTGTGGGTTCACCCACATCACAATTTATATAATATAAAGGAGTCAACTTGACATGATAATTAGTTGAAGAGAATCATCGAGGGAAACCAGAAGTTGAAATAGGGCGAAAAATGTCGAATTAGTTCTTAAATTGGATAGAAATTCTATTATGAAAGAGTTTTCTGCAGATTGAGACGATTATTAGGTGCAAGGAACTAAGGAAAATAATTCCACAAAGGAAATAACATTGATCTAGGCACAAGAATTAGAGGAAAAAGTAAAGGGAAGAAGAGGGGATCTCTATTTGGAAGGTTGGCTTTGAGGTTCAAACTCCAGGACCAGTCCGAGTTTATATCTAACGTCTCCACTCTCCTCTCTCTAGCGCCAACGACTTTGATTTTTTTGCTGTTGGGTTGAGCGGGTCACCCGCACACTCACCCACAACCCACCCACCACCCGGCGGATGGCTCCCAGCGCAACCCGTCACCCACCCACAGACCCACCCACTTAACGAAATTCGGGTCAAATGCGGGTGGGTCGGCCCAAATCCGCAGATGATCCGCCCGCATGCCCAGCCCTAGTAATCACCGTGGTTACTAAGGGTAAATTGGGTATGGAAAAATAAATTATATTAATTAATTTTTTAATAAATTAAATTTAAGGTAGTTACAAAAATCTATTAATTAAAAATCTCTCTTTCTCTCACTTCCGTAATCTCCAGCCAGATTTCCTTTCCATATTTTTCTCAATCTTTATGCAAAAAAAAAAAAAAACCAAATCAGTACCAATCCATTAGACAAACACTACCACTTTGAAAAATATCAATACCATTGCAGAAATAAATCTATACCATTACACGAAAACTACCATTGCAGAAATAAATTTATACCATTACACGAAAACTACCATTCAAGAAATAAAAACACTACCATTTCACAAAACATCAATACCATTGCAGATTTAATCACTACCAATGCGACAAAATCAATACCAATGTAACAAAATCAATACCAATGCGACAAAAATAATATCAATGCGACAAAAACTATACCAATACGACAATAACACTGCCACTACGAAAAAAATGACTACCATTTAAAAAAAATCACTACTGAAAAAAAATGACTACCATTTAAAAAAAATAATACCATTCCAATGGAATTCCTCCTTCCAATTCCTCCGTAGCCACCGCCCCGGCCGCCGCCCAAATGGCCACCCTCTCTGATTTTGCAGTAACCACCGCCGTAAAAACCCGGTGTCTCATTAATTAGTAATGACGTTTGGGAAAGGAAGGAGTTGGCGGGGGTGGGGAGGGGTGGGTCGGCGGGGGGAGGGGGGTGGGGTGGGATGGGATGGGATGGGCAGGGGAGAGGAGGGGGAGGAAGGAGGGAGGGGTGGAGGAGGAAGAGAGGGACGGTGGGGAAGGGGGGAGGCTGCCGCCTGCCGGCGCGTGGGTTTGGTTGGAAGGAGGAGGGTAGAATTAGGGTTTGTGTATATATAGAATAATCCAGTGTGGTTTATTTTTTGTTTCCAAAATTATCCTTGAGCAATCATAATCGTGAGATTAAAAAAAATAGGAAAAGATAAAAATGGATGGTGGATATTGATGTAGCCAAGGTGGCTACTAGAAATTTAGTAACCAAGCTAACTCATCCCAGAGTATAGTCATAAATCACAATAATAAATCGTCAGTTTGTGCGTTTTTCAAACTTATCGTGGATTAGTCTCGTTCTGATCAATAACACTCAAAATTTTTTGTTTTATGTTTTCGATCTTTTGCATTGTCAATTTTTCATTAAAAAACCAATTAGTATCAATGACTCGAGTTGTTTTGATTATGAGGTATTGTGTTCAAGTTATCACTTTCAAGAACCAGTTGATCCCGATAACTCGAGTTGTTGGGAGAGGTTCCATAATGGATCTTATACCACACACTAACACACCCTCTCAAATGAAAGTCAGTCAACTCATAAGGGTCTTCGTTTGCACGGGTCTG